ACACATGTATAGCGATTTATTATATGTACATATATATTAAAAGCAATATTATTATTATAGCATATTTTTATTAGAAATATTATTACATACATTTATATTGAAATTAAACAATAAATATATACTTATATGACTCATATATTTTATACATATGTATACGAATAATAAAATTTTGAATTTTTATTTTTATTCTCGTTATAACGAATTCAATTGGTATATTCTCTTGATATAACGAATTTCGATGTAACGAACTTTCGATATAACGAATTTTTTTCTCGGTCCCTTGAAATTCGTTATATCGCGAGTTGACTGTATTAAATAAATAGGTCTTATTTGGAGTATTACAATAAAGAGAGTAAATATTTTGTTATATCCATAAAATTCATTACTTATCAGGTATAAATAACCCATCTTAAATCAATCCATAGTTGGTTGAGCGATAATATTTCTAAATCTCAATAAATCAACCATCTTACACCACTCACTGTCTGAACAAATTTTACCACTCATACACAATATTGTATTATTTGTGAAACATTAGTAGAGAAATAAAATAATCAAATATTATTAAAGATTTTAATGGCCATCCTAGTTGTAGCGAGTTAAATTATGGGATTATTTAATGAACCTAATTACAAGTGATCGTCCAGATTTAACGACAATCCCATTAATAATTGACTGACCAAAAATAAACTATATTCGACATGGTGAAAAAATTTTTTAATATAGTGTATACTACGAATAAACAGTAAATTATAAATTGGCAAGGAAATTATTTGTTTTAAATGGCTTGACGAAATTTGAACAATGTCTTGTTAAAATACTTCATTCTCGAGTCTAAAAGAAATCTAAAACTGAGTTTCTGCAATGTTTTTTAAATTTTAAGAGACTCTAGTTAGTAAAGTTCAACTTCTATAAAAATTCAAAATAAATTAATATAATAAATAGAACTGAAAATTGTGATCACATCTCAGTCCTCAGGGACCTTTCACCTTTTCAAAGGTACTATAACATTTAAAATCCAATTTTTATGGCAGAATAATTAAATTTCTTCAAACGGTCTTCTAATATCAGATATATTATAAATCACATATTACAATATTGAACTGTGACCGAATTTCAATATAAATTTATTGAAAACATAGTAAATATGAAAATAAAATTATTGATTTTAATTTTTTTATAAAAAGAAAACACCTATAGAGACCATTTTTAAAGTAAACTTAGATAGTATCGAAGGTTGAGTGCCTCTACGGAAAAAAAAATAACTCATCATGTCACACAACAGTAAAACATAACTGCAACAACAATAATATATACATTCGATAAATCATGAATTGCATATTAATACTTTCTAAGACGACAGCGATAAATTATTTGTTGTTGTCAAATTTATTAATTTAGGGTCAAGCGGTGATAAAAACTTAATTGATGATTTTTAATACCGATTTAAACGGACTAGAACTTTTTATCAGCGAATATTAAACGTCTTCTTGGATTTAGTAATAATGCATGAAAAACGCGAAACAAAAAACGTTTCTGGTTAGTATAATTGTGGAAACGATAAATTTTATTAAAGTATAATGTTTCAATATATAAAAAGATGGTCAGGATGTTAAGTCAATAGTTCTGTTTTATTTGTACGATTTAATGAAGTGTTAAATATTTTTATTAGGTGTATTTTAACCATCGCGAAAATGGTGATGTTCAGTGTTTCCATCTCTTACCGTAGAGACTGTGCAACACGGAACATTTTAACTAATCATAAAATGTATTTTCAATACAAATATGATACAACGATCAAGAATATAG